GATTTTGGGGCAGTTTGGGGGATTTTGTGGTCGATTTGGGGTCCAATTTTGGGCGGTTTTGGAATTTTGGGGGCAATTTTGGGGCACTTTGGGGATTTTGGGTCAATTTGGGGCGAATTTGGGGCAGTTTTGGATTTTGGGGGGCGATTTTGGGGCAGTTTGGGGGATTTTGGGGTCCAATTTGGGGCGAATTTGAGACAGTTTGGGATTTTGGGGGGAGATTTTGGGGCACTTTGGGGGATTTTGGGGTTGATTTGGGGCGAATTTGAGACAGTTTGGGATTTTGGGGGGAGATTTTGGGGCACTTTGGGGGATTTTGGGTCAATTTGGGGCGAATTTGGGGTTTTTAGGGCCATTTTGGGGGTGAATTTGGGGCAGTTTTGGGTCAATTTGGGGCAGTTTTGGCATTGCTGGATCGATTTGGGGATGATTTGGTGCAATTTGGGACTTTTTGGTGCTTTTTGGGCATTTTGATGCATTTTGGGAAAGATTTGGGGCCATTTGGGGGATTTTGGGGTCCAATTTGGGGGGAATATTTTGGGGTGGATTTGGGGATCTATCCAATTTTTATCAATTTGGGGGGCATTTGACCCAATTTTGGTCCATTTTGGGTCTATTTTGGTCCATTTGGGGGCCATTTCACCCAATTTGGGTCCATTTTGGGTGAATTTCCCCATTTTGGGGCCATTTTTGGGGCCATTTGACCCAATTTTGGTCCATTTTGAGTCTATTTCCCCATTTTGGGGCCACTTTTTGGGCCAATTCACCCAATTTTGGTCCATTTTGGGTTGATTTCCCCATTTTGGGGCCATTTTTGGGGCCATTTGACCCAATTTTGGTCCATTTTGGGTCTATTTTGGCCCATTTTGGGGCCATTTCACCCAATGTTGGTCCATTTTGTGTTTATTTCCCCATTTTGGGGACATTTTGGGGCCATTTTTTGGGTCAGTTCACCCAATTTTGGTCCATTTTGGGCCTATTTCCCCATTTTTGGGGCCATTCGACCCAATTTTGGGTCCATTTTGGGTCTATTTCCCCATTTTGGGGCCATTTTTTGGGCCAATTCACCCAATTTTGGTCCATTTTGAGGCCATTTTGGGGCCATTTCACCCAATTTTGGTCCATTTTGGGTTGATTTCCCCATTTTGGAGACATTTTTGGGGCCAATTCACACAATTCTGGTCAATTTGGGGTCTATTTCCCCATTTTAGGGCCATTTTTGGGCCCATTTCCCCCATTTCCATCACTTTGTGTCCATTTCCCCACATTCATGACCATTTTGGGCTCAATTCACCCCAATTTGGGGCCATTTTGGACCCATTTTCCCCCATTTTGAGCCCGTTTCCCCCATTTGGTGCAATTTTCAGCCCATGTCCCCACATTTGGGGCCATTTTGGGTCAATTTACCCCAATTTAAAGCAATTTTGGGCCCATTTCCCCCATTTCCATCACTTTGTGTCCATTTCCCCACATTCAGGACCATTTTTGGGGTCAATTCACCCCAATTTGGGGCCATTTTGGGACCCATTTCCCCCCATTTGGAACCCATTTCCCCACATTCAGGACCATTTTGGGGTCAATTACCCCAATTTAGAGCAATTTTTGGGCCCATTTCCCCCATTTCCATCACTTTGTGTCCATTTCCCCACATTCAGGACCATTTTTGGGCTCAATTCACCCCAATTTGGGGCCATTTTGGACCCATTTCCCCCCATTTTGAGCCCATTTCCCCCATTTAGTGCAATTTTCAGCCCATGTTCCCACATTTAGGGCCATTTTGGGTCAATTTACCCCAATTTAGAGCAATTTTGAGCTCATTTCCCCCTCATTTAGGGCCATTTTGGGCCCATTTCCCCCATTTTGACCATTTTGGGCTCAATTCACCCCAATTTGGGGCCATTTTGGACCCATTTCCCCCCATTTTGAGCCCATTTCCCCCATTTAGTGCAATTTTCAGCCCATGTCCCCAAATTTAGGGCCATTTTGCGTAAATTTACCCCAATTTAGAGCAATTTTGAGCTCATTT